CAAATACTAAAGTGGATGAAAGATTAAAATTGTAAATTGCTCATCAAAGAATTTGGAGTACTAGATCTCTTACTCAGCTTTGACACTCTGATGTAGATTACTCATTGACATCTTAGTAACTATTTTGAGATTATTTCAAACTCTAAAGAGTGATGTAGGGTGGGTCCATAGTATTTGGCAAGTCAGACACCAGGCATGTTCTTTGTTTTTTATATTTATTCACATTCATGACCATTGAAGTTGTAGCTGGTTATTCTGAAAGACAAATAATAGTTTAAGCCAAAAACATAAATATGAAGACAATCAGACCTCATGATAATTGTCCATTCCCTGTAATGCCAAAATGAAAAAAAGAAATAAACACAACCCTCAACATAACTTATAAAAGAAAGCTGTATATGCTGTATGTTAGAGTGGGGCTCAATGTAACAAATGACCAATTTAACTTAAAAAAGAGGCAAATTAAATATGTGCAAGAATCTGCTTTCTAAAGAATGCCTGGGGTGGTCTAAGTGTCTAAAAATGTGAGTAATGAAAACAGGCTTAGCCTGGATTTCCCACAAAGATCTGCACTTCAGTTTCACCTGGCATGATTTGTTGCAGCTAATCTTACCACCTTGCCTAATAAGCGTGCTGTGAAAACCTGTTATTCAGTTCTGGTACTGACTTCTCCTTCCTAGTGTTTTGTTTAACCACTGTATTTTTAGGACAAAGTAAAAAGTCTAAGTGCCATAAATTTACTTGTTGAAGGTGATGGTGCTGGGTTTGAGTAGTATGAGATGATGCCTTTGGTCACTTTAGTGGAAGCTTTTGTGCTGTATATTTATTCTCATGATTCACAGATTATTCTTAAAAATCCTCTCACATTAACCAGCTCAAAATCAACTTTGTCCTTGTTTAGCTCTGAACTTTTTTGGGGGTGGGGGAGGGAGAGAGAGCATGACAACATTACAAGCCGTGCTGCAATATCTTTGTGTTGTAGAGGACTGTAGCCATGCCATGTTTACGTCATGTTACCTAGGTGTTAAGCAAAAAGGCTATTTCTTTTTGAAGAAGCTTGGTAATACACATTTATACTTTAATACACATTTATACTTTATCATTTGATTTTTAGATCTGATTCAACTCTTAACATTTTTATTTATTTAAAATAAAAAAAAAGCACCAGCAATCTCTATCAAATAAAGTCACAGTGTTACAAAGCTTTCCATGTCAAACATGGCAAAATTTTATGTTTTAGAATACAAGCAAACATTTCCCAGTCATTACTCATGGACCATTTATGAAGCACTTGGGGGTGGGTGTCAGCAGAGCTGATGTGATGGTGAGTAGCAGTGTTCTCACTGCCACTGAGGGTGTGTTCCAGGAGAGGGAAACTCAGTCTGTGGTATTATGTGGGTGTGTATCTTTGTAAGCCAAAGAGGAGATTGCTCACGGGTGTGCGGAAATTTTCCCACTGCTTCCTGGGTAGCAAGCTTTTGGCAAATAAATCTCTGGCTTGGAAGTTTGGATTTTACTATAGCAAGGAGACATTCTGGCTCAGCTCATATGGTTTCTTTTGGGATTTTTAGTATGGCCTCAATGCATACCCTGTCCTACACGTGCCAACTGTCAAGAGGGGAAACAGATCAAAATGTGTGTTTTGCCAGAATTCTGGATAATACTACAGGTTGTTGACAAAAGTAGAATGCCTTCCAAGTATGTCCACCACAACTCACTGTACTTGCAAAGCAGGAAATAGAATGAAGGTGTGTTCTTACCCAGAATACATGGGAAACAAGAAAAAAAATACATTTGAATTAACACATTTTTTTTGGCAACCTACATTTCTTACTAAGCGGAAAAGGTAAAAGGACATATTTCTACTTATTGAAAAAAAAAAAAAAAGAGAGAGAAAACCAAAACTGTTTCAGTAGTGATAGTAGTTTCAGATTTGTTTTTAATATCAGGAAGACTTTTATGGAAATAACCTTGATTTTGTTAGGTTGTGTTGTATTTTATACCACAGTCAGAAAGAATGATTACATTTAATATGGAGAGCTGAACAATTAACAGAGTTAATAGTCTTAAAGATAAGATAGGAATGCTTTCTGTATGTGATCCTGAGGTCATCAGTTTTAAAGAAAAAAAGCAAGAAAACCACAAAGAACAAAAGCATTATTGTGTAGCTTTCTCTTAATAATTACTGCAAAATTTACTTTGAGAAGTTATTTCTTACTTAATTTCACATTATCGCTTGTCTCAAAGAAGTGCTTAACAGTTTGACTAATTACACAGTTTTAAAACTTTTGCTTACCTTGGGCTGATATTTCTTGGGTGTCAGTAGTGGATGACTTGCCTTAGACTATTTTATACTACAAGCTGCAGTGTCATTCAGAACTTGAAAAGCAGTGCAGGTGTCCAACATGAAATCTTCTGTCTGAATATTAGTGAACAGTACAAAGCTTGAACTGACATAAGAGCAGAAGCTGTTCATCATCAGCTTCTTTCGTCAACTGCTCTAATTTCAGGACTGCATTCTAATTCACCTAAGGCTGAAAGAAAACATATTAATATTTTACCATATTGATTTAGTATACATTAATTGTTCATGATGTACTTCATGATGCCAAAAAATCCCCCAGAAAGCACATTTTTCTGAGTGAAAGATTTGATTGTAAGAAGTTTCCTTAGCAAAACATGAAAAAATAGTCTAAAGAATGTCTTTCCTATAGCATACATTTTTCCATATTAAAAAATCAATTGAAATGAGTTTTTATATGACAGAAGTATGAAGGGTCAATTCATTTCCTCTCTTTAGCAGTCACTGAGGGACCTGTTTTGGCAGCATTGAAGAAGTTCTGCTAATAGCAGAGGGAATAGCAGGATTTGATCATGTCATACGTGATATCTTCCATCTTCCATTCATTCCCTTATTTTAAATTTACTTATATGCCAAAATGTTTTCAGGACTGGCATTTTGAAATAAAATATATGCAATGGATATGCTTTTGGTATTAAAGAGCCAGATAATATTTATAGAACATATTATCAAGAAGTATACACTGAAGAACAATAGATAATTCTAGTTAACATATAAGCTTTTTTATATTATGCTAAGTAGCATAATTGCCATATTAAGGCAATGAATCATTTGTTATGTAACTAGTAATTAGCTTTATAGAAAATACTATACAAATACAACAAATGGTTGTAGTAAATACAACAAATTCTGCTACAGAAGAAACTTCAAACTAAGCCATCAGGTAATATAAAATTATTCCATCTCATGATGAAATTACAGTGATTTCCTAAACAGTATTGGCTGTCAACAGATAGCTTTTCATCAATCTTATTTTAATATACTTCTTTAAGTAAAAGAAAAAAATATTAGGTGTGTTTAAAAACTGAAAACTTGTACACTTCCAGTACTCCGAAATACCACTTTCTGAGTAATTGTTTTTCATAATATTAAACAGAAAATATTCTAAAATTTCAGCCATATTCTTAAATCTCTTTTAAAATGCTATTTTTTATATTATCTGTCTTCTGTTGTGAATAGGAAGTATTTGTGGTCATATCAGTTGCTCTTTTTAAGAAGTAACTTTTGCATTTTTTTGATATCTCATTAAATATAATAATGGATGAATGGTTTAAAGGAAAATGAATAGCAGTAGGTTGAAAAGGACTGCCCCTGTGGAGACCCTCCAAAATCTGAGGTGAATTTTTTCAAGCAGTAACACAACTGTAAATATGCTTTGGTTTAGGATAGGTCTGTGAATTATACAAGAATCCTGTTATAATTATGTTACTAGGCTCTGCTGAAATCAGGAGGAGAGCTGGCCTGAGACTGCATCTACATGTCCACAAGAAGCCAGGATGATTTATGACTCTCAGGTAACCCTGAGGACATGGATATTAGAAGGATGAATTTTGAAAGGCTTTTTTTTCTAGGTCTTTCGTGTAAATTTTCCTCCTCCATGGGTTACTTGTCTATCATAAATTCCTTTTTAAAATATTTGTTTATTTATTTATTTAATCAATGAGTTGATTTACGGTGCCCTTTTACAGATACTTTTACTGAGTAGGAACTGCAGACACTTCTCCATTCAAATATGCATTTCAATGCTGTACATATAGTTACTAGCTCTTGTTAATTAGGCATAAACTGGGTAGTTTTCCTATATATGTAATCCTTATGTAACTGGTTTTCAGCAGTGTAAAGGGTAGTTTTCTGTAAAGAATGTATTGAGAATAATAACATTTGAAAGTCTGCTATCCAACATTTGGAAGCACCAGATTAGCAAGTGAAATTCTGCTGTTCAGCTATATATTTGGCACAGATTCAAGCAGCTTTACAGGAGGGTTTTTAACTGGGTTTAACACGCCATGTCTATCAACTGATGAGGTGTAGACCAGCCCAGAGATGCTTCATTACAGAGAAGGTGATTAATTTCTTTTCCTCCTGTACATCTGAGTGGTGCTTGGAAATGCCATGCAGCCATCTTTTATGAAGAAGGGTTAGAGCCGGAAGCCACTGTCTGAGAGGCTGCAGGGTACAGTGTCTGGAGCCATTGCAGCAGCACAGTGTGTGATGGAGGCGATTTATGAGCTGGCCTTGCTGCAGACTTGTGTGACTTGAAGCCTTGCTTAAGGATGCCTACACAGCTAAGTCATTGCCAATGGGAAAGAGCACTAGGAGCTGTAAAACGGGAGATTTTACAACTGTCTTTTAGAGTATGTAGGTGGGTGATTTGGGTATAGTTTGAGATAGTCCATAATCATATCACATTTCCTTATTGTTCTGAAGTGAGTGAGCAAAATGCCATATGAAGTTACAGTCTCTACACAGAACAACCAGAGCAGTTTGTTTAGAACTGTTTGTACCACACATTGACAGCAAAATGTGCAGCAAAGCATGAGGGATAGGAAGCTTCCTGCACGTCCTTGGGTTCTTGCAAGAACTGGAACCAATACAACTCCTGATAAGATTATTTCAAAAAGCATTCCAAGATTATCAGAAGGGTTGCACTGTATCATAAAAGAAAAAAAATACCTAGGTAAAATACAGCATGCAGAAGCACTTTTCCAGCTCCTCCCATTGCTGCACGTAAGTGACACAGTTATAGTTAACTTTGGATTATCAATCACTGTGAAACAGAATGGGAAGGTTGTACATTTGAACAGCTTTTTCACTGCTTTTGCATTCAATGATGCGGCTCTCAGAACCAGTACTGGACATGGAAATGGCAAACTACAGTGAAGTTTTAGATCCGACTTATACAGCACTGGAGTTCGAAACTATGCAGATTCTGTATAATGGCAATGGTGAGTTCTTTCCTGTGAGGCAAGTTCAAGCCAGTTAACAGAAAAAGTGAAGTTTAGTAATGCTATAAGGTGTTAGTTAAATGTTTTATTAATGGAGCATTTGGGGGTTGTTTTCAAACTACAAATCTGCTCTCTTACACTTCATCGCTGACTCTGAGTTAGTAACATTATAATTCTTTAAGGAAAATAAAAGAGAGGTTATATATAATAAAGTAGCTGTACTGTCACCAGTCAGTTAATCAAAGGGAAAAAATGGTCTATTCAGCAGTTGTTTTATTTACTGTAAGACGAATGAATAACTAGTATTGACAATTTGGACGTGGAAGTGTATTTAGTATATAATTTTCAGAAGAACAGGACAAAATTCTCCAGAAGTTTGTGAAAAATATTAGCTACTGTTTCTTCATGCCTAACTTCTAATTGGACTTTTTTTATTTAAGTGTTAATTTAGCCTTTCTAGGTAAGTGTATATATGCACAAGAGTGATTTTAAAAGAAGCATATCGGCTTCCTAGAGGATAATGTTTAGTTGAGAAGAAGTATTTGCATTTGGCTAATGTAACACTTTAGGCAGATTTTTTAATATGCAATTTTTGAGAAGTTTTGTCAATAATTTATGCTTGAAATGGAAAATATACTATTTCATTCTTCCGTTGAGTACCGGCAAAAAAAAAAAAAAGCGAATAAAGGTATTAGGCAAGTTAAACTACGCAAAATGGGCCTTTCAGATATTTTAATACACTAAATATGTTTGTTTATTGTGTCTTACAGTATAATTCATACATTTACAGTAGTATGTATTTTTAAAAGGCAGAGCCAATATGTAGCGATTTGCAGGAAAAATATTTAGCACCTGCATTTCCACAAATTCCTGCCATATAGAACCTCATTAAGTTTTTATTGTTGGGCTTTAAGTTTTATCTGAATTTCTGATGTTAAATTACAGCACGCTTAGTAAACAGAAGGGTAGATTCGGTTATTGATTTAGGAAGAAAAAACAGAACTTTATGCACTAGCTAAATTTGTAACTATCAACAATGATTATATAACTGTAGATGATTTCTCTGCTTTTTGTTCTAATATGGGTATTTCATTGGTCATTTGCTTTTTGCTGAATAGCACCCTTTTGGATCTGTTAATGTTAAATAAAATGGGAAGGCAAACTAGGGAGGTTGTGCTTGGCTGCATTATGTGTTGGCGATAGAGCTGGTTAAATTATCCCTGTAAGTGATTAGCTTGATAATTATTAGTTATCAGGTGCAGCCTTTTTTTGTTTAAAGTTTGCTTTGAGTTTAGCCCATGTATTTTCTTACAACATTTATAAGAACATTGTCTTGTTACAGTGCTAGTTTGGAACTGAAAGCTGCCCCTTTTGAACCTTCCTGTGTATCTTTTCTAGCAGTTTAAATTAATCAGGAACATTCATAGAAGTTTAACAAGCCACATTCAGGCAGATTACACAGTTCTTTTGAAATCAAAGAATTTTTCAACATCAGGACAATCTTCTAGACATTTGTTTCAGAATTATACCAAATAAAATAAGGTCTTATATTTTTTGAAAGCAATTTTAAAAATAGTTTACAAATTTGCAGTCATGAAAATCCTAATTTTAAAATCAATTATTTACAGAACTGAATTTTTACTTCTAAGATTTTATTTAATATTTTTAATGTAATTTCTATCAATTACAACTCTGTAAAAGAAAACAGAACAGAAAGATTGCTTCTCTCTCTATCTACAGAACTCTAACTTTTAAGCTCTGTGGGACACAATGATAATTGTATAAAGTATTTGTTTTATACATTTCAGTTGGATCTATACAATATGAGTAATATTATGTATCAATGTTAACAGTTTTACTGTTCATCATGCATACTGCTCATGAACTCATATACTTGACTTTTGAATTTGTGTGCATATCTAATTAATGTGGCAGTCTCTTCTCTCCTGGACAAAACAGCCACAAATGTTTAGGGTATATTTTCCTTCCATTTAAACCAGAAGCATAGCAGAAAAAACTCTTTTGCAATTGTTTCTTTGGACATGTCTATTAACATTGTGATTCAAAAAATAAGTATATCTGGTTTGATTTCAGGTGAATTTATTCATTAGTGTTTACCATATTCAGTGACTAATTGTTAATCATGTAGCTAATATTCTGTGCAAGGAAAGATTGCATCAGTGCTCCTGTCAAAAATATCTTCAAGGAAATAATAGTGCATTTAGCATGTTTTATTTTTTTTTTATTAAGTCGTGCAAAACCCTTTGTTTCTTTTTTTTAAGGTCACAAATCTTTGTATGAGAGTTGCCAGTTATTGCCATGAAAACTGATACACATGAGATCTTTACCAATTAAAACTATTCTGTGCCAAAGTTCCTCCTCATGTTAGTAGGAATGTATGTGTAATTATAAATCCAGAAGTGCACTTTCATTTTTAATCCTTCAGCTGAATAGATTCTAGAACACAATTATTTGTTGTTAACTTCATAAATTTATTGAACATCTCTATCACTTTGAAAGTGTTCCTGTCTGTAAGAACCAGATGTAATTAAATGGGTTATGCTGTGTAAATCCTAAATGGCAATTAAGAGAAAAGGCCAGAAAAAGCCTCTGTTTAGGTCCAACTTGCTCATGGGGTGGTTTTTGGAAGTCTTATTCATAACTATGTATGTTCTTGTCTCTTGTCAGACAGTTCAGGAGAAGCTGTCAACATGAATGCTGCTGACAACGGGGTCAGTAGTCTCTGTGCAATATGTGGAGACCGAGCGACCGGAAAACATTATGGTGCTTCCAGCTGTGATGGATGCAAGGGATTTTTTAGACGTAGCATAAGGAAGAACCACGTCTATTCATGCAGGTATTACAAAAGTTAATCTAGAGGCACTAAATTAATGAATTTAAGTAAAAATTGTATTCAGACTTTATCAGAATTTTCAAACTATGTCAGGGGATTTTCAGCTTTTACTTAAGGAATGCTACTTGATATTACACATTCCAAAAACTGCATCCAGATTCTTGATGATATTGTTGATATCATTACATCACTCAGAAGCTGTTTCACTCTTCTATATATGATTACAAAGGTTGATTGAAAAAAAAAAGGAAAAATGCTTATATTTTCAGTGCAATGTGAAAACTGTAATTCTTAACTGCTTTCTAAAATTCTTTCCTTATGAAGGTACCTTCTGAATAGAAAGCTAAGATTTATGAGTCTTGTTTTAAGGGCTGTACAAACACATCTGCACATATTCCCACTTGGTGTGACACACAGGTGTTTTGAGCAGCCATTTCCCCCTGTCTGTCTGAATGGCAGTCTTAATTTCTGAATGGTGCCTCAATATAACACTGCACCATGTTTGATGAAATTGTCTGTGTAGGCTCAGGGCCATATACTGTCCATTGTGAGTAATGAGCAGAATATATGAAAAATTCAACGAGTTTGAACAAATCACTGAAGAGGTATATTGGGTTTTCATGCCAAGATTTTGGTAGTGATGGGGCTGCAAACGTGGATTCTTGTGAGAAGCTGTGAGAAGTGTCTGGTGAAGCCAATGCCAGCTAGCTCCAAAAGCTGAACCTATCAGCAATGGTGGTAGTGCCTCTGGGGATTACGTATTTAAGAAGAAAAAAAAAATATTGTGCAGAAAAAACTGTACCCAGAGAAGAGAGGAGTGAGAACATGGGAGAGGAACAGCTCTGCAGACATCAAGGTCAATGGAGAAGGAGGGAGTGGAGATGCTCTAAGTGCTGAGCAAAGATTCTCCTGTATCCTATGGTACAGACCATGATGAAGCAGGTGTTCCTGTGAAACCCATGGAAATCCACAGGGGAGCAGAAATCCACCTGCAGCTCATGGAGGACCCCCTGCTGGAGAAGGTGAATGCCTGAAAGAAGGATGTGACCTAATGGGAAGATTGTGCAGCAGCAAGCTGTTAGACCTGTGGTCAGTCCCATGGAAGGAGGAGCCCACACTGGAAAATGTTTTCTGGCAGGACTGTTGACACCTCACAGGGGACACATTGCTGGAGCAGCCCTAAAGAACTGCACGGTGTGGAGCGCACCCATGCTGGAGCAGTTCATGAAGAACTAAGCCCATGGGAAGGACTAAGGTTGGAGAAGTTTGTGGAGAACTGTCTCTGTTGGGAGAAATCTGACATTGGAGCAGGTGAAGTCTGAGAGGAGTTCTTCCCTTGAGGAGGAAGCAGCAGCAGAGATAACGTGTGATGAACTGATTGTAGCCCCATTCTCTGTCCCCCGTGCCATTGCATGGGGTGATGATAAAACTTTTATATAAGAGTGTCTTGTTACTGAAAATATTGTTTCCTACACTTCTCTTTGGTTGTGTAATATTCTTATAAGAAAACCTCTCCCTTATAGACACAGCACAGTGGTATAGCATAGACATACCCCCTAAAGTGGTGTGTCAAGAGGTTACATAAGTGATTTCAGGAAGAAGTCTGCTTTTGAGAGTCTGTTTTTCTAACAAATAAATGCAAAGAATAAAAGGCAGACCTAGACAGAGAGAGGGGAAAATGGCTCATATGCATTCCCTTTAGGCACACCTGTAGATATGCATGATAGCCTGGGTAAGCCACCTTGCAGTGTCATGCTCCATGTATTTCCTCAATTTATTTCATTGTGTTGGTGCCTCTCATTTCCTGCTTAGGTTGCCACCTGTAGTGATGAAACATGCAGCTTGTTCATTGTTATCTCCCAGAAGGAGTAAACACTTCCAGACAAGGGTAATGATTTTGCAGCTAAGGGGCTCCTCCATGCCAGCAACATTTGGCTTTTTCCTTGATTGTCCTTTCCTTTTTCTATTTGCAGCTTTTCTTCTTTTTTTTTCTCTTCCACCACCATTTAATGGAGCCAGTTACTGACATACCTCACAAATCAGTTGAGGTGTAAATGATGTACATAGCTACAAAATTTTCACACTTGCCTGTTCCAGTGCATACATGTGTTTATACACACACACATATATTCCTGAAAAATTAGCAGGTATGAAACACCTCTCAAAACTGATTAATAAAGAAGAATAATCAATGCAACTGAAGAAGACAGTTTGTGGTTACAGACATTATTCTGACAGGACAGATTAGTTGGTTTTCTTCTTTGTAATCAGGGTGCTACTTTATTAATGCTTTATACATTTACCTTTTCTTGTCTCTGATAGATTCAGCCGACAATGTATTGTTGACAAGGACAAAAGGAATCAATGCAGATATTGTCGTTTAAAAAAGTGTTTTCGAGCAGGAATGAAAAAGGAAGGTAATGGAGTAATTTATTATTTGATATACAAAGAGAAAAAATCTGAATTAACTTTGAAATATAATAAAAATTCTAAAAAATCTCCAGCAGAATAAACCAATGGAAAGTCTGCTACAATACCTTCATAATGGGGAAGTGCTTTTATATTGAGGTGAAATACATGTCTTCTAACTTTCAAGTGGGTAAACAGTTCTAGCACTTGGGACATTAGCAAGTCCTTGGATTTAAAGTGAATTTGGAACTGTTTAATTTGTGAATTCTGGAACCAAAATTCACTGATTGCTACATACTGAGCCATAAGCTGGAGTATTTCAAACCATGAGATTTTACTTAAAATGCTTACTAAATCCGAGTAATAAAATCTTTATCTGGCATCTTTTTTCCCTGCCCTAAGAAATGACAGGGCAAATTTACTGGTTCTTCCCTTAAATTTGAATGTATGAAGCATGTAAGCCAGACAAAGGATTGTGAAGTTGAGTGAAAAAATAATGAGTAGTGGTAGCTGTCAGTGGAGTGTCCACATTAATTAACAAATAATCTAATTTCCCTAGGGCTTAATATAAGAAAATTGTTACTTATATATCACACTGACAGATATGAGAAATGTGTCACAGTGATTCTTCTGTCAAAGTGGAAGGACCAGATCACCACAGGTGCAGAGCAATAGGGAAAGAAGGGCAGTGCAAATTCTAGAGGTTTGGTTTTTTTGTTTGGGCTGCTGTTTCAGGGACAATAATGATGTAGAGGCAAAAGATGTCCTTATCTGTTTCAAATGCACATTCAAAAGTGGTTTGTCACAAACTTTGCTGCCTTTTTTGTTTGGAGCACAGTGCAGGCCAGCCTGAAATATGAATGCTTATTTCTCTCGTAACATGGCTATCATTCTTTTTGTCTGTACAGAGGAAGCTTTTTCTTTATGCTCTTAAGTATCTGTCCCATAGCAGTACTTTGTAAGTGATCAAGTTATTGGTATGAGATAAAATGAATTTTCCTCCTGGAAGCTGGATGGGGATATCCTAAACAGCGTTACATGGGGTATGAAATTAGGTTTGCCTACTATTGTGGATCTCCTTTAAGACACTTTGGCCTTCTGGAATTTGAGCCATTAAGTCAGTAGTGTATTACATATATGTTATCAATCTGATGTGAAGAAAGGGGAAGATTTGTGTATACATAGCAGCCCTAGGAGTTTTGCAAATAGCAGAGCTTTACAGACTTTCAAAACCTAGAATTAAAGAATAGTTTATCTCAGAAGGGACATCTGGAGTTCATCTGGAGTTCAGCCCCCATTTAAACCAAGGCTGATGTCTAGATTCAGTCAGGTTGCTTGGGACCCTGTCCAGGCAAATTTACACAGTCCCTGAGAGGGGAGAGTCAATAACCTTTCACTCTGCAAGCTCTTCCAATACTTGACCACCCTCATTGGGAAGAGTTTTTTCCTTACAACCAGGTAGAATATCTGTTACTGCAGTTAGAGTAGTGTCCATTGGGACTTGTCTTTTCATTATGCATCTGAGAAGAATCTGGCTCCGTTTTCTGTATACTGCAGAAATGAAGATCCACACATCCATGTTGGTCCTCTTTTTTCCACATAAACAAAGATGCCTCTCTGCTTCACTATGTGCATCTTATGGTTTACATCTCCATAGCCCTTTTCTGGACACCACATAGTTTACCAGAATCTTTTATGTTCTAGGGAGCCCAAAACAGAGAAATGCTCATTCCCTCAAGATACTAATGCAGCCTGGTGCATGGCACAAAACTTTATCCCACTTAACTCTACTCTGCCCTCCTCTGATCCCACTGTGTCTAAAACTTTCAACACTGATTTTGTTTTGTTATAACCTCTCTATATGATCTGGGCATGTCTTACAGTGTAAGTGTAGCATAGAGTCTATGATAGTGTCTCACATTTCTAGCAAATCTCTTTTCTTCAGGACAAAGATAGGAAAGGCTTCAGTTAAGCTTTACAAGTTCTCTTTGAGCAAATGTACCACCCATGGAGTCTCTGTTTAAGGCAATATTAGACTGAATTAGTAAAAAAGCTTTAGCCACATAGTCTAGTCTAATAATCAAAAATTATATATATGCAGAAGAAAATTAAAGCATCCACCAATTTTTAAGTTTAAGTGTGCTCCACCAGTGATTTTCACTAGTGGTGTATTATCAGAATACCTTACTTTTTTTGCAAAACTAATCAGTGCTAACTATTTTAATTATCTATGTTTGTTTCAGCATTGGATGTTTGTTTCATCATTCTTTTACAAAAGGTTATGTTTTCTCTTTCCTGTCTACAACATACTGTGTGTTTATCACCACACAAAATTTCTTCCTGTGACCTCAGTAAAAGGCCCGTCAGTGAGTTTCCCTGCAAAAATATTAGTACACCTCTGGAATAAACTGTGTGCATTGTTCAGATAAATCCTGAACCCAGCCAGTGTACAGAGTATTTTTTTTTTTTTTTCTAATTGAAACCTCTTGTACTACTCCTAAATTCTGTAATGCAGATTGTTTCCCACAAAATAACAAATGTATCATTGGAAATGAAGCTGTTGATCTTAAAAGATAATTAAATTCCTCATGCAATTGAAAGATTTTCATTGGCACAATTAATTTTTTCCTTTTTAATTTTCCTTGGCCTAATCTTGGACATGGTCTAGGTTTTAGAAGGATCTGACTGTTAGATTTTATTTTTTTCTTCTTCCTTTAGTTCAAAAGTATACCTTCTTGCTTCATAAGCCTTGCATGTGCTGATTACAGATATTTTATCCAAAGCTTTTTCAAATGCCTGGTTTTGGACCCCATGAGACAAAACTTACTGAATTTACTGTCCTAAAACTTTTCGGTGTGCTGGTTTTTGGGTTAGTTTTTTTTTTTTTTGTTATTTTTCCCCCCTTTAACTTAGTTAATGTTCCATAAACTGACTAGGAATGCAATGTCACTGAGGAGAAACATGAGATTTAAGTCTCAAAATTATCTTACTAGTGGATTAAATTCATGATTCATTCCTCTTTCATTGTTTCCCACAGCAGAACATGAGTAGGGCTTTCATACTCCCTCTGAGAGATATTTTTTCAGCGATGATGCTGTACCATTTTACTTGTTTGGCAGTCTGGAAATGTCCATTTCTGCTTTTATCATAAAAGCCTGACTTATTAAATTGGTTGAAATTGAGACCATGTATTAAATTCAAAGGAAGAAAGACGTTTGACTGTAATTAAGCCAGTAATAGAAGTGCTGGTGATTCAGTGTCTATCTGCAATTAGTTATACATGCTTTTTTACAGGCAAGTAGTGTTCCAATAGAGACTATAAATACGTATTATCATCCTTCCTCATTACTCAGCTGAAAGCAGGTCATCTTCTTTGAATGTCATACACTTCGGTTCTTGGAGTTATCTTCTGAAATCAAGTAAAGTTCTGAAATTGTTCTTTATGTCAGTGTTTACAAGTCAATAAATGAGATGATTATTCTTTTCCAGCTGTACAAAATGAACGGGACAGGATAAGTACAAGAAGAAACACTTTTGATGGCTGCAGCAGTCCCTCTATTAGCACATTGTCACAAGCTGAGACACTCTCCCGCCAGGTACTGAGATATCTCACAAAATTATTTAGTGACATTAAGACCACTTTTACTAAAATTGAATATTTTTCAATTTCTTATTGAATCAAAAATAATTATTGAGATTACTTTTTTCTGCTTCCAAAATGCACACAGCTTCCTCTTCTCAATGGAAGAAGTGGTAATAGAATACATTCTTGAAGCATAGTCAATAAAAAAATTCTACTTTGTCCAGGACAATATGTCTTAGACACCTTTCTTAATAAAGGTTTATGGTTCTTACTGCTTTTAAATCAGTTGCTGTCTTAGGCAGCTGGTGGCACCTATCTATCCTTGAAGCGGGCTTTCCCATGAAACATAGGGAAAAATTTATCCAAAGCCATTACATTCAAAGGGGTGTGGACACTCATTTCCTTACATTCTTTTGAAAATCCCATTTTTAATATCCTTAGACATTAGAAGTAAGGCAAACAGAAGTGTTCCAACTGCAGAGCCTATTCATATCTCGCTTTTGAATTTTCTTTGTCTCATCTGAACTTCATTTTCTCTTTTTCTTTTTTTTTTTTCCCTATCCAATCAATTGCTGAATGGAACAGTCTCCAGTCCTTTTCTGCACCTCACATAAATCATGGTCATTGATTCTGCATTCTTGCACCTCTTACTAACTTGCTTAGAATTTAACTGCCACCTTTATGATTTCATGCTGACTGATTTATACATCCCCAAATGTTTTGTAATCTCATCCTTTATCAGCATCTCTCTTAGGCTGGAACTGTCTGTAAAGAATTGATGCAGGAATTACTGGGTGATAGTCTTTGGCACATATTGCATGTCTGGGTAGACTAGATGAACATAATGTACCTTCCTACCTTTCATATCTATACAGTATGAAAAATATAGCTATATTTATCTCCTTAGTAAATTTTTGAACTTGCTTATTGTGCTTTTTTATAATACTCCTTAATCATTTCCAACTGGTATATGCAATTCAGGAATAAGATCTGTCTTGAACAGAATCAGCTCTTTATAGCACAAAGTTCTTTTCAAACAGTAGCTTCTTGGTCTAAAACATCTCCTTGTGTATTTACAAATTTATTGTACTTAGTATTTGGTATGTTTTAGTAGAACAGAATTGCTTCCACTATGTCAAGCATATGTGAAGATGCAGTCTGGGCCTCAACATCCAAGAGACTCTATTTGCATGATGGAAAAATAAGTCTTAAAAGTACTTATTTTTCCTCAATTGAATAGATCTGTAAGATGAGTTCAGTCCTGAGAAGAGATTTAGAGAAGTTGGTAGTGTCCCAAGTCATAATCCAAGTACTTCAGCTGTGAAATGAAGAAGAGGGTGGCTTTCATCTCTTTTGAAATGTTCATATTAAATAAGGAAAATTAGATATTTGCATCCCTTTTGAAGTGTTAATATTAATAAGGAAAATAGTTATTTTGTTCCTTAAGATCCCTTACAGGGGGGAATTGTCTAAGTACAGTTTTTCTTGTACAGACCTGGGAGAGGTTACTAGGATTATGTATGAAATATGAAAAGGGCATGCTGGACTCTCATATGGGTAAGGGCATCTGTCCCTGAGGGCTTACAGAACAACTGGGATACAGTTATTATATTGTCAAGTTCATCAACTCATTAATGGGTACAAGTTGCACTGGGAAAGATTTCGCCTCAATATAAGAAAGAATTTTTTTATGGTGAGAACGAGTAATTACTGGAGCAGCTTTTCCAGGGATTTGGTGGAGTCTTCATCACTGAAGATTTTCAAGATGCAATTGGACAGGCTGTAGACAATCTCTAGGATTCATTTCCTATAAAAGGCTGGATTAGATGATCTTTCAAGGTCCTGCTAACCTGTGCTAGTCTATGATTCTATCAAATCAGTGAGTCCTGTGTTGCACCCCATAAATGAGAGGCAGGTTAAAGCAATAGAGAAATTGAAATTTGGAAGTTCATAGCTTCATATCCTTGTCAAGAGATGCAATCCCAGGTGTTCGTAATGAACTCCATGGGAATCCCCAGCAGAAGTTGACCAAGCAGTTTCAGGGTGGAGACTGTAGTTTGTAATATGAGATATAATTTATAAATATACACAGCTTTGATTAAAATATATTAAGGGAAGGACAATGTATTAACTTCATGAGTCAGTATGTCTAGCAGTTAAACAACCTACCTCTTCTTTACCTTCTTGTATTATCTTCTAATGGTTAGTATCATTTTCAGATAGAACAGATAGACCTACTATCAGAAATCTCTTCTTTGTACCTTTGAATCATGATCAAGCCCCTTTTACTCTTCTGGAAAAAAAAAATGAAATGTATTGAATTTCTTTACTGTCTTTCTGTACTAAAGGTTTTCTAGACTGAATCACTCTGGTAGCTCTCACCTGAATGAATATCAGTATTTTCAAACTCCTTTTTGTAGAGGAGATGCCAGAAATGGCTTCATGATTATAGAATGGATTTCACACATTCTCTGTCTACAAAGAGGCAATACTGCTAACCTTTTTCCTACATGATAGCCTTTCAATTATGTGTCTGAGGAATTTTTCACCTGCCTAGCTGCTGTATTTCCCAGAGAACTAATGTTCAGCTGGTTAACTGACATAAATATCTGAGCTGTTTTCAGTGTTTTACACTACTGAATTATGTAGGAAGCACAGAGCTTTAGTTCACAAGTATAGCTCCTTTGACCACCCAAGGATAAGGGACTTCACCACAGATCCCACTGTGAGGTTTAACATGGATATATGAATGAAGGGGAGCTTGTAGGAGTCAACCTAAATACATTCCACCATCCTGAAAAGTGTAGGAACATGGTATTGGAAGACCAAACAGTTAATTTCTTTTCCTGAGGAAGATAATCATTCTACATAATTTCCCAAGTATGATTTTGGTAATAAAACATAAAGGGAAAGTCAGTTTCATAGGCCTTGTACAGAGATATTTTTGTTTTCCTTTTTTACCTTTTCCTTTTCCTTCATCTTCCTTTTAATTTTTTTTCTCTATTTTTTTTTGTTGGTTTTTTGTTGTTGTTGTTGTTGTTTCCTTTTTCCCTTTTTTTTTTTCTCTTTTCTGCTTCCTTTTTCGTTTTGCTTTCTTAGTATGATAGCAACTATAAACTGACCTTACCTTCCTGGGTTTGGCTTTCTCTTAAGTTGACTTTCCCGCCTGACTTTAGAGAAAGCCTGGTTTTGTTCCTTTCCTTGAAAAGTCATTAAGAATATCAGGATTTGGCTCAGTAGAAGTGCCCCAGCTTCAGGCTCAGAAAGATATTGCTCTCTTGCCATTTCACAGAGCACTGTTCCCTGCAGGTGGTCTAATGCACACTCATATCCTTTACATTTCCTCTGAAACATCTCAGGCCTCTGCCTATACCGCTGCTTCATCATTACAAACCATTCTCCTCCAGGCACTAAAACCCCTGTTTTACCTTCTAAAGTTAATGATACTTATCTTTACACTAGAAGAACATGCTACCCCTTTATCATTCTCTTAATATCTCTATCCCTTAATATTACTGCATGCTGCTATGAGCTCTCCTTTTTTTCTGAAATGAGGTAAATGTCAACCATTTTAAAGGAAAAAAAAACCCAAAGCGCCTCCCTTCTACAAATGAAAAGAGTTCTAGTATGTTTAAAAATAGTATTTTGGAATGAGAAAATACTGTATCATGATATAATTAATTAAAGTTCTATCATATTGCAATGCAACAGGTAATAATGAGAAAGAAAAAATTATAATTTACATGCAGGGTAATGCTCCATATGGTCAAGGAATTTCTCAAGAGTATCTACAATTACTGCTGTGATTTTTTCTTAAATATGCTGTTAACCAATAAAAATGAAATTATATGAAATTTAACGTTTTTTCATTTTTTCTCTCATTATGGCCAGATCTCAATCTCAAGTCCTGGTGCTAGCACTGATGTAAATGTTAAGAAAATTGCTGGTATTAGTGATGTCTGTGAATCTATGAAGCAACAACTTTTAGTCCTGGTGGAATGGGCTAAATATATTCCAGGCTTCTGTGAACTACCACTTGATGACCAGGTATAAGAGGGGACCAAAGGAAAAAACTCTGATTACTGCTGTTATTCTTGTGATATTTAAATGTCATGATGAAGCATTCATTCTTTTCTGTCTGAACAAATAGAGCTAACCCACCCTCTTAATTTATTTTTTTTAAAGTTTTTAAATAACACCATCACAACAGAAAAGACATGAACAAAAAGAAGCAGCAAAGCAGCATGTCTTTAAGTGTTTTGTTCTTTCTGTAGTGTTTTGGAAGCAGAACTTTTTTCTGACATTAAAAAATATTTATTTCATGTTGACCTTTCATTATAATATGGTTAAAGAGAGCATATTATTTAATTTGAAGGAAGTCTTCTCTACTTGCAAAAACCAAAAGCATTTAAAATCTCAAACAATTCCAAACATACTGATATCAATGCATAGCAAATAATTTTTCATACAATGCAATGTATTAAAATTATACTGTATATAATAAATATAAGGGAAAAAAACACAAAATCTTGAAAATTCATAAGGGTTTTTATGACAGAGGTCTGATCTATCATCACATCTGTAATATATCCTGATATATCACTGGCTTTCAGAGTAGGTTGTGCTGGCAAATCCAGGACCAGTTATCTCCACATTGTGAAGATCAGTTTTCTGACAAGCAGCCTCAGGAGATGAATTCATTGCTTGGGATCTTTTGATTCCACACCAAAATCTGATTCATCTCAAAAATCACTCTCTTAACTGGAATTGTTTTAATCCTTCTTTTTGCTTCTTCAGTCTCTCAGTTTTTCAACAAAATCCTGCAAGTATTAGGTCATTTTTAGTTTTGAACTGAATCATTCCCTCTTATATCATTCCTCAGGAATATGGATGTGTTTCAGGCCACAGGAGACTCCCAAAAAAAGGAGTTAAATGATGTCTTTGCCGACCCACAGAGCACATATGTGCACAAGCTCAACATACTCGAATAAGTTAAAACTCTGTTTATGTGAAAGAGAATTTCAAATGCCATTGCTACACAAGAGCAACAAAAGCAAGCAAAAAAAATATTGCTGCTTTTATTAAAATAGCATGGAGGAAAAGAGAAGGTATCAAATATCCTTAAAATGTTCATGTTTGCATTTAAAAAAATAAAGTGTCAGTTTAGAATGATAAGCTGAAAACACCCCTACTGTGCTTGAAGAGTACATGTTGGGAAATACTCTGAAACCTTAAATACCTTGGAAAAGTAGGGACAAAGATGTTGAGAGATAAAAAAATGCCACTTTTTCATTTATGATAGCCAGTTTCTAAAGGGCATTGTGCATTCAGTTATAAAATGCACATCTGGTTTTGAAAAAATGATTCCTGATCTGGGAGTCAGCCTGATATAAAAAACATAGAAAAGACCAAAGCAGCTAAGGTAACTCTACTGAGAACCTGAAAAGTCTTAACAGATAAGAATTACCCAGGTGCTGTGTACCTTTCTATCTCTCCTACAGTGATTGGCTTGGATTAGAATTACTTGTAAAGAAATCAATTTCTTGAGGAAATAAAGGGCATTGCTGAAATTTCAAGCAGACATTAAAACCAGAGGAAGGTAAATAGGTGACAAAGAATAAATTAATAAACACAAGTTCCTTCCCAGTACTAATTGGGATCCCTCTTTGTGGACAATAGTGGCTCTGTTAGCATATCTGGGTTTGTTGGGGAAAAGCTCTTTTAAGTGCCACATAAATTTTTGGTTCAAGAGAAAAATGAGACACTGATAGAACCAAATTTATTGTAACAGTTCATTCCAGCCCACTGGAGTCGTTATTGTCAGCTTAAGATGCCAGAGAAAACTTTGTCAAGGGAATACACACTAGGAAATAAATGCAGGTACTATATTTATTGAGAAGTATTTTGCAGACCCTGATGTTTAAAATTTAGACAGAATGCCTGAAGTGACTGAGGATGACAGTTTAATTAGGAAGTGCTGTTTTTATGGTGTTAAGATTTTTACATTCTCTTTACATTTTACATTGGAATCTTAACAGTCTTAAACATGTACCTGACATACAGTAATATCTATCCTCTTTTCTTTTGCTTATATTGAAACTTACTGCTTTATCATCTAATGAGTCTGCTGTTTTTTTCATGAGGTTGCCCTTCTAAGAGCACATGCTGGGGAGCACCTGTTGCTTGGAGCAGCAAAAAGGTCCATGCCATATAAGGACATTTTACTTCTAGGTAAATATTGGTTTTCTTTTACTTACTGATGATGATGTTATAGTACATTAGCAACGATGTAGTCATTTAAGTGGGGCAACTGTTCTGGCACAATCACAACAATACATTCTGTAAATGCTAAATTGCTATTAATGACACGTCATGTGCCTGTTTTAGCAAAAGCAGGTGGATGGTTTCATGTGGGTTAATACACCTAAAGGTCTATTGGATAGCAGAAATCACAATTTAAGGGAGTTCCTGGCAATCACCTCCTAACATTATTGTCCTTTCTGCACCTTTTCCCATGAAAAACAATGGAACAAAACAACAACATCACAAAAACGTTGTAAAAACCCCTTTGCTTAGGAAAGGCGCAGCCAACCTGTTGCACATGTACTACTTTCAGTCTTCATGAAAACCATTTTTCTGGAGCTTTCTCAGGAGTCCTTCAGACTCAGAGAAGACTCCACTGGATAAAATATTAGATAGCCTGTGTCCTGCAGTTCACTTTCCCAAGGTCCCTCTCACTGCTTCCTCGACAGTCCCCACATGGCCACCACAGAAACATCATTCCTGCTGTCCTTGCCACATGCAGATGGATGCATCCATGGCACAGTGACAAGGCACGTCTGCAGGAGCATATTCTTGGTCAGCTGAAGTGGCTCCTAGGCTGGCTTATATAAAGGGAACACGGCTGTCAGGGAAGAGGATGTTGTCGCTGATGGAAGCACGTCTTCCAGTTCATGCAACAGGGAGGCCCAGTTGCCAGATGAGATGTGTGCCTGTGTGGAGAGTGATGGGGAGAAGCATTTGTTAACCTCGTGTGACACAGTGCTCTGCCACTTTGAAGTGTACTCTGCCAAAAAGGGTCTCATTTGACATGGTCAGCACTGAGGCTGTTTCTTGAGAAAGTCTGTTGGTTGTCTTGGACAGGATTTTTGATGTGAGGCAAAACTATATGGAATATGGACTCAGACTTGTCTCTTCATTGGTGGTGTGGTACAAGGACATTTTCTACTACTTGTCCTCCTTCTTCTATGGGCCTGCCTTTTCATAGCTCTAAATTAGTTTGAATTTATTTTTACACATATTAAAATATTAAAAGGACAAGAAGGGTGTGGTCTGAAGATATTTCTCTCCCCAGCAATCTTTTCAAGATAAAAGCTGTACAAATGGATTCCTTAAGGTAGTTATTTCCCTAGATACTGTTTCACTAACAAAATTAACAGAAACAAACAAAAAAATTAAATTTTATTTGGATTAATAATAAGTCAATGAGAAAAATTATAAAATAATAGTAAGAAAATTATATATCATAAGCATCAGCAGATATGCCAAAAGAAGAAACAATTTGAGGCATCAAGGCTTAATTTTGATACTTGGAGGCAGGCATCTGTTCTATGGGTCATTTTGATGTGGATCTTTTGTGATATAATTATCATCTTTTCTTTTAAAAACTACATGGTGGCTTCTGAAAGCTCCACGATATTCCTAGTGTTGGGCCATAGTGGAGACCTCCAAATGGATATGTAAAAACACCCCCAAAACCCAAAGAACTCTAGGTAAAATTAATTCCTAACTGAAAATTTTACAATGCTACTAAATTTTATTAGGAACAACAGAAATATCCATTAGAAAAAAAAAGCATTTCCAGCATCTCCTGTTGTCTGTTGACAAATCCTTGTCATTCAGCTTGGGATATGTTATTTTAATCAGGGCAGAAGACATTTTAAGATCAATTTGTTAGTCTATTTACCAGTTATTTAAACATAAAGGTCTACTTGGTTCATACTTGTACATTCAAGTACCAGCTTTGGTTCTATGGACCAATCAGTAACTACATGTTGGCATACTTATATATATGTATACATACATACGTATATGTACCAATTATTTACTGGGTGACAGCTATAATTTGCACATATACTCTGGTTGCAAAGGAAAGTTGTGTGTGATACAAGGGAGAGTTATTGCTTAAAAAAATTATTAACTTGATCAAGGAATATGAAATGTACTTTCGAAAATTGGCTTAATTTAGTATGTTACCTCAAAATGTTTGTATCAATTCATATGTTGGTATTCTTTCTTTCTCAGGCAACAATTACATAATTCATCGCAACAGCACTGAAATAGAGATCTGCCGAGTGGCAAATCGGATTCTGGATGAATTAGTTCGCCCCTTCCAGGAAATTCAGATAGATGACAATGAATATGCTTGCTTGAAAGCAATTGTGTTTTTTGATCCAGGTATTTTCACAAAAATATCTCTCAATTGTTTTACATGTGATTGTATTGAAAGTAATTTTTGTTAATGTAGCATCTGTTCATGTTATCTAGCTGAATGGAAAAGAATAAAATGAAAAACAGTATGATGCTTCTCCCATTTTTAATATGCCCTGACTTTAATTTTTTGTCATTTTTTAAGATGCAAAAGGCTTGAGTAATCCACTGAAAATTAAGAATATGCGATTCCAAGTCCAAATCAGTTTAGAGGATTATATTAATGACCGTCAGTATGACTCCAGAGGAAGATTTGGAGAACTTCTTCTTCTACTGCCTACACTCCAGAGCATCACTTGGCAAATGATTGAACAGATACAATTGGTGAAATTATTTGGAATTGTTAAAATTGACAGTTTGCTTCAGGAAATGTTACTGGGAGGTAAGATAACAATTTGTTAAATTTACCGTCTTGTATTATGTTGAATTTAACATATTGGGATGTTGAAGGAATCCTCATCTAAGATACCACTCTGATTCACTAGCTGAGCTTTGTGTTGTGTAATTGTTAACTAAAGCATTCTTGTCTTGGCAGTTCATCTTGTTAACTTAGTCCTACAATGACAGATTTTGCTATTTACTTCTCAGTAACTACTGGGTTGTCCTACAATTCTCTAGGCAGATGAAAGAATCCTTAGAAATATTTCATGAAACACACTGTTATTGCAGTCAAAACAGTGAAAATAAACACAGTGCTTAATATGCTTGAAGTCTTCTTAAATTGTTTAATGAATACCCAGAGGCAATTATTCAAATTGCCAATCAAAATATTTACTCTGTGGAAATGTAATTACTGAAGTATAAGTCACTGGCAACAACATGCTCTTTTGCATTGATATATGATCATGTTATTTTTGCAGGTACTTCTAATGATGCCAGTCATCTGCATCATCCAATGCATCCTCACTTAGCCCAAGATCCATTAACTGGCCAGACTGTCCTCATAGGTTCAATGTCTGCTCCTGTACACACAGAACAGATACGTAAGTAATTACATGTTAACCTTCTGTCATAACGTTTCACTGTTTCATTTTAAAATACTAATTAGAACGGTGGCCTGTCAGTGTTCATAGTGCTATTTAATCATCATTCTTAAATTAAAATAATTGTGCATTAAAAATGTATGTATATAAATGGTGTTAAGTAATAGACTTTGACCTGAGTTTATTTTAATTTTAAAAGTTGAGCACCATTCTGATATATCATTGTTTTTACATGCACAATCTTTAATAAACTAAAAATTCTGATCATTAAAATATCCTGTTTCCCTAGCATGTCAAGGCACTCCCTTTCCCAAGCATGCAACAAGACTCCCTTTCATTGCAGTAGTGTGTATATGTAGAGTAGACCAGGCTATAAAAATATTTAATTATTTCTATGTTTTTTTTCAGCAACTCCAGAAACTCCATTGCCTTCCCCTCCACAAGGCTCTGGGCAAGAATACAAAATGTCTTCAAATCAGGCTTCAGTCATTGCACAGCAATCTATTTTGAAACAAAAACCATTGTGATACTATTTTTATCTCTGTCTCTGTCTTATCCTTCCTTCCCTTCCTTTTCATGCACTAGAAAGATTAGTAGAACACTTGCACATTTAAAATCTCAGGTTGATAAAGGGAAATTATTTCCTCAGCAGCCACTACTAAGTGGGTGTTCCTTAAAACACCTCATGATTTGGAAAGTAATGCTGTTCTGACTACTGCATACAACTGTAACTGTGGACACTGCAGTCTGACAAATATGTATAGAGGTAGATATTATTTTTTAGATCTTATAAGTGCACAGATTCGTGTTTTTATTTTCTGTTTTAGTTGTTGTCTTAATATTATTGTTTTAGATGTGTATATAATTTTTTTCATCATAATGGAACTGGTTAGTGCTTGTTTAGCTGTGAATTGTAGACATGAAAAGGTGGGTTATTCAAGCAAAAGCCAAGATTACACTAATAGTAGAACATTAGGCTACCAAAAAAGCACATTAATAGAAAAAAAAACAAAAAAAAAGGAAAACATACTTAATGGACAGAAAACCCTAGCCATTTTAAAAAATCCTGATTTGAAAGGACCATCTCTTTCAAGTAAAATTTCAACAAAACCATTGAATCCTCCCTGCTTAAGAGTTTGTGTGAAGCAGAAGGCCTGCCTGGGTGAATATGCTTGAGGACTTTTTAAAAATCTATATATAGAACATCTATAGATATTATGTCTATATATAGTCAATTGGCCAGGGCTGAAGCATTTATATTGATAAATACTTAGAACAAGAACTGGTAGGCTTTTTCGGGCTGAACTAATTAATACATTCCTAAAAAATTTATGGGCACACTTTGGGAATTAGGCCAGTCTAGGGACACTTTTCAGGTTCTTTCAGCCCTTCTCTTTAGGGGTACAGAGAGTATCACAGAACCCCAGAATAAGCAGAGTTGGAAGGGACCCACAAAAATCATTGAGTCCAACTCCTGGCCTTGCACAATCCCCAAGAGTCACACTACATGCCTGAAAGGGTTGTCCAAATGCTTCTTGAACTCTGTCAGGCTTTTCTGTGACCATTTCCCTGGGCACTGTTCCAGTGCCCAGTCACTGTCTGGGTGAAGAACCTTTTCCTATTATCAAACCTAAACCTCCCCTGACACAACTTCAGGCCATTCCCTTGGGTCCTGTCCTTGGTCACCAGAGAGAAGAGATCAGTGCCTGCCCCTCCTCATGCCCTCACAAGGAAGTTGTAACTGCAATGAGGTATAACTAGGACCATGTCATTTGACCTCAGGGCTGGAGTATACTTTGTGATGTTTGGTTTACTAGTGTAGGAGTAGCCATTGTGTTTATTGGTCTAACTGGGTGGTAAATGCACGTTTCAGCAATCACTAAAATTCACCTACAGAAAAATTGTAATGAATATAGTAGCTCTGTGTTTGGAGAGGTATGACTTACTAATTGCAGTGGCAAATGTGCCTGAATTCAGCTCCAGGTTTTCCTGGTTTGAGTCATGGTATTTCAAGCCAGAAGACAGCATACCTTCTCAATTCACATACTCATCCTCTCAATTTTTAAGAGTTTTCAGAAGTGTGGTATGACTTGGTTTTCTGTGATGAGCCCCTTTCTCCACCTCTTCCTCCTCTTTCAGTCTGGGGATCCAACACTGACTAAGCTTTGTGTCTGGAGTCCATAACAACCCATCTGGATTTGGACCCTCTGTGAATTTGCACAAAGTGGATGTGGTGACATGCTCACTTGGGGCATTTATACTACTCAGTTACAATTTGTGAAAGTAATCTTTTGTGATATATGAAGTGATAAGTTTGTCATACAATACTAGTATCATAAGCAAATCACCACTTTGCACATTTTATTTATTCCAGACAGCAGTGATTTAGTACTTTAAGGTAGACTTTCTACCAGAAGATATGTAAGAGAGAAACAGAAAAAAAGAGATAATAATATTGCAGTTTGCTAAACTATTGCAAAGAGAAAACATAGTGGAGTCAGAAATTCTTCAAGGTGAAGAATTCATCCTGAATGAATAAACAGATGAACAGATTCATCCTTCATCCTGAACCAGACACCTTCATTAATCACAGCATCCAGAGATGGTGCAGTTACTCCCTTGGCTTATAAAAGTTGCTCAAACAATCTGGAATGATTCTTCAAATACACTTTTGTAGGCAGGAAATGCCTACAAAACACAGTAAATGCTGAGCTGACCTGAACATTCAAAAGGCTTTAATGAGAATGCACCTACCACGAGGCAGACACTGTGCTTCTTTGTTATTTTAAAGTAGTTGCTTTTGTAAAGTCTGTATACAGTAGCTATTAATGTTTGCCTTTTGCTTTTTAGATCCTTTTTTCTTTTTGCTGTTTACTGTTTGTTTTTTATTAATGCATTTCTCTTTTTACAAGTTCCTTTTAGTATGAGTTTTCATGACAGAATAAGGTTCTGAAGTTTTGCCACTAACTTTAAGGGTATCCGGACTGTGCTATTTTTACAAGTTGGCCACCAATGCTTTACAGTGATACACAAAGGTAAAACAAGTGTGAGAGATACTGAGCAGCCCAAAAGTTTACTGATTTGGCTCACTTTTGTGTACTTGCCATAGAAAGAGTGTTGGACTCTAGGTGGATCTGCATGAATTTACTGTGTCAGATAAATGAAGTCAGTTGCATAAACACAGAAGTATTGGTCTGACAAAAAGCATAATCGGAAATAAAGATCAGTCCCCAAGCTGGCCACCCTTGCCTTATATAAGAGATGTGCATAATAGCTTAGTTTATTTTTCACAGTGAACTTTAGATATCAAGTGTACAATAAAATGTTTCCACACACTGCCAAAATGTACTGGAAGAAAAATATACTTTAGTATTTTATCTGACAAAAAGCTGTTGTCTATTTTGTATGATATATTACATTTTTGAATAAGAACACCACTGTAATTTATTGGGAAAAGCTGATTTATTTTATAAATGTAACATTATTTTTGTAAACTTAATTATGAAAAATCAGAAATGATTAGTGCTGTTAAATATTAAATTATAATGAGGTGTAACTTTATATGTTTGAACTCTGATACCAAGTTTTTGTATTGAGCATTTGGAATTGAAATGGTTGCTGGAAATATTTCAAATGGACTGTTTTTCATCAAAGCTCAATAAAGAAGAATGAATGATCCAAATGACACATTTGCCTTTTAATATTTTTTTTTTTTTACTATTTACATAAACAATGAGAATGGTTTATATTCCTTACACAATGGATAAGTATATAACTAACATACTTTCATCTCCACAATGTTCACAGCATCACAGAATGTCTGAGGTTGAAAAGGACCTCTGGAGGTCATCTAATCCAACCCCCTCTGCTCAAGCAGGATATTGAAATCATATGAAAGAATATAATGGCAACATTTTAGTTGAATCTGCTGTAGCATGGCAAAGTATTACATAGCTATGGTCTTAAATTTTTACTTCTGACTCAGAAAAGAACTGAAGCACATGCTTAATTCCATCTGTGTTTAAAATTAACCATATGTTCAACAGCCTGTTCAAAAAACCAAAAAATCAGTGTTTTTCTGGACAGGGATAACTTAAGAAATCACTGCCTTTGTTCCAGCACATTATTATTTAGAAAAATTTAGATGCAACTTTATAAAGACATTGTAAACTTTAGGAAGATTCTTTACAATATATTTTTTCAGATGACAAATATCTCCTCTGCCTTGGAAATTATGTTCATTTGCATATTTCTTTACTAGATTTTGAATAGAAATTAGGTTGGAGGTTTGTTTGTTTGTTTGTTTTTAGGGGATTTTTTTGTTATTGTTATGTTGGTGGTGGTGGTGGTGGTGGTAGTTTTTTTTAGTAGTAATAATACAGTGATTTTGGCTGCTTACTTTTGATCAAATGAGCTCTATTCTGGAGCGCAGAACTACAGGAAAAAGTTGCCATGGGAGGAAAAGGAGACTCCATTTTGAATGCTGGAGGTCTGGTCCCTCTGAGGAACTTGTGTCAGTGTCTGATTATTCTACATGCAGGAAACCTCCACTTGTGAATGCTGACTGAGGTGTAGAAGGTTTATGATTTTAGGGAACTGAAGAATTTTTTTTTCTCAGCCCACAATGAAGGAAATATGGAAACCCCCTTACAACTTCAATGCTGTGACATGTTCACAGACAATTCTTCAAGGATTTCAATAAATCAGCTTTACAAGTAGCTGCAATAGGTGAATCAGGATTGTGTGTTTTCCAGAGACAGATGGATAAGCTAACTGCTGTATTGGTTTGCAATTAATTTTTGCATTTTTTCTATTGGACCTGATACAGATGCATTAGCTTCTTTCCCTTTATTCTCCCTAGGAATAAACAAGAAATGGAAAAATTATTTATCGCCAGATTTAGTGTTTTGATGTTAACAATGCAATTTCACTTCTCTTTCTTCTGTTGTTTTTCTAACATGAAGATAGAGGAGATGGTTGTCATCAAGGTTGACATCAATCACTGCTTTCTTCTGGTTCCTGATTTCCTTGCAGCAAATCCATGCATTTTAATTAACTGAATAGTCTATATATAAATAGAAAGCCCTCTATGAAGCCAAAAGTTAAATTTGATTGCAGAGGGGATTAAAGGTGCTCAATTGCAGAAATATATTTTCAAAAATTTATTTCATAAAAATTAAAATGCATGTCTGATTTCTGAACAAAATCATAAACATTTCTATTAAAGTGTGAGAAACTTGAAGACATAATCAAATGTAAAGATTTTTATATAATGACAGTGAAAGAGAACTTTCATTTTGTATCACCATCTATAATAATTTCCTTTTGAATACCATCTAAACAGGATAGGCAAAACCTCATGAAGACATATGCCTAAAAATGTTCTTATGAAAATGATCTCTATTCCTTAATATTGTGGTAGAGCTATGATTGCTACTGACATTATCTGGCAGTTCACCTGAATCAAGTGTCAGTCAAAGATACCACATCAATACTACATTTACTGATGCTGCTGAGAGGGTTGCCACCTCCTCACAAACAAGGCCTGATGTGACAGCTTCTCCAAGTCATATTGTGGCAGGACACCCTTGCATCAGCACAGAGCTCTTAATTACCCAATGATTTTGAGCCTGACACCACTTCTTCCTTTTGCAAGGGTGAATGCCACCAGTGTCTAACATGATGAGGTGAACAGCAGCAAGTGTTGAAGATTTTCCTTTAGCCAGTCTGATCAAGGGGGAGTTTCATCTAAAGCTTGCACTCTTCTCTGAGACTAGAGCAGAAAGCCCATAAATCCAGTTTTAAAATGTCTTTGGCTTTGATCGGAATAGCACTGGCTGGTCTCTTCGAGTCTTAATGTAGCAAGAGTTGAACAGTTGAGTGTCTCATGTCTGATAGGGCTCAGTGACATTTTGGGGTCTGGCCTCCCACCTAACCTCTTTTGCCAGTTTGTTGGTGGGTTGACAAAACAGACAACAGTTGCTGTTTCAATTTTAGAATATTGAGTGT